GTTTTACAGTATTGCTTGAAAATAACTGAAGTATACAGATATATATTTTCAACACATAAATATTTGTATATAACACTGACAGTGGCTCAGTGTCTCCGAGTACAATCTCAGTAAGAAACTTAATTCAGCTCTGTTGTCTCTTGCTGGTACTTGGAGAAAATGGAGATGGAAAAGACATGAAGATATCTATAGTAAAGTAAAACTGTTCCCAGTAGTACAATATATTCTTAACTGCTCTGTCCACCCTAGTTTTAAATCATTTGTTTGATGACAGTTCCATAAATTCCTGGACACGTAAGATGGAGACATCAACATTTTTCAATGAATATTAAACACAACTGTAAAATATCTTTCCATAAATATTTCATTATCAAAATATAATTTCTAAAGTTTTGGTTCCAATTAACAAATCTAAAAATTTAATGCAGTTTAAAACTATTACATAAAATAGTTGCAAATGCATAAAGCCATTTTTCATTGGTTTATATTTGCAAAAGTTTACATTTCCAAGGAGTGTGTTAGCAGTCTAATTAGCTGAACAATACAGTAAGAGTATATACCATTCTAATGATACACTTAACATACTGCTTCAGCCATTTACCTAATATGATTAATAATAATTATAAAAGTAATTTTTCTAGCTGACTCTTCCTTAGCAACTCTGCTACCTGTCTTTTTACAAATAAAGGGAACATTTTTTACTCCAGACTGTAATGATTAAAGAAGCAAAAGTGTTAAGAGACTTATTCTAGTCACTTAAGAGAAATAGAAATTTAAAGCACATTTTTCAACCTTCACTATTGCAAGGAAGTGAACCTGCCATGACTCTCTGAAGATCCGCAGCATGGAGAGAAGTAATAGCCAAACCAGAAGAATCTTTTGCTCTAGTATGCATGAAAAATGCAGCTAAATCAAGGAACTGAGAGACAAGTCCCAGAACCTGAAGATTTAGAGATATTCCCTAATAACCCAGTATGCCTGCCTACTTATCCTGCTGGCACATGCTAAGAGGACATCCCATGCTTGTGTAGTTACAAGTTCTTCTAACTGTACACGCCGACCTTTTTCAGAAAGGACACTTGATTTCCCCACAAGCTCAGCCAGCGCTGCAGAGCAGCTCTTCGAATGCTTCCCATCGTGGCAGGTGATGCTAACCATGGGATGGGTGGGGAGGGGGCAGAAGCAACATGCCGCTGGGTGACCAAGAGGAGCACTGCACGGCCGGCCAGGGAGAGGTCTGCTCTGCCAAGGTTAGTATGCACAGCGCTGCTTTCCAGAAGCTAAGCGGGAGTGCATCACCAATACAAAGCAGGACCGGGATATTATAACAAACGTACAGTGGGTGACCCTGAGAACTGGAATAATGGAAAAGGAGAAAATTCAAAGAACGGAGCCATGAGTTTAAGCGTTAAAACCAAAATAATTATTGTAAATTGGGAGAGAACAGCTTGGAAGCATCTCAAGGAAGGAATAAGGAAGTGACCAGTGTTAAAACATATGAATAATACAGAAGCATTATATAGAGGTATTACACAGAAGGATATTACTGCTGCCTACAAAAACATGAGGCGAATAAGCAAAGGAAGGAAGGGAGCTACTTAAGCTGCAAGGCAATAAGGCAATGCATCTTAAAAGCGTTGGCACGAAACAGCCAGAAGTAAAAAGGTTCACAAGCACTGCAATATTTTGGCCCAGGAACAGCCTTCTACGCAGAGAAGCAGGAGGAACTTTCCAGAGTGTATAAAACAGGTCAAATTACTTAGAAAAGGGGCAGTGTGGGTAGATACCTATGGTAGCCACAGTCTGGACTTGGTGGTCTTTCCATGGAACAGAAGCAAATGGTCAGAAAGTGGTGGGATTGGGGGACAGCACTTTCTCTCTAGCAGAGCACCAACAGGAGGCAAGATAATGGCTCTGGAATATCTGTGCTTAATGCACAGCTTCTTCTTTGGGATCATTAAAACAAAAATAGTATAACTCGCTAGTCACATAATTTTTCACTGCTGCCCACTGCCTGGTTAAAACTGGATCCTTTTCTTCCTGAGCTTAAGTAACGCAAGCTCAGATGATTTTCAAAGTGATTTCTGTCTGCAAAAGCTCACATTTCTTTGACCTCTCCCCCTCCCCAAGTTCTTCATTTTCTGCTGAGGCATGGAGGATGCTGCAGAACACGTGCCCAGAATCCCAGAAATGAAGAGGGAGAAAGGCAACAGCACACCAAGGTGTACCAGCCATGGCAAGCTGGTCTGGCTTAGCAAGTGACATCTGAATAGTCAGATTTAAAACCCACACTCTCAATCAGTCCCACAGAACACAGCAGTGTTCCCAGTCTCTATGAGAAAAGAATAAATTTGCATAGTATAGCTGGATGGCACAGTAAGGAACATGATGTTGAAGAACTAACTGAATTTTATTGTTATAAAATAGTATTTACATTGCCTGCAGCATTTGTCTGGAAGAATAAGAATCAGATTATTCCATTAAGTTTCTGAGGAACTTGTAACAAGTGTCAACAATCTGGATGAACCTTTTCTGGAACAGACTGAGTTCATCTCAACATCAAAAGCACACGGTCCACTCAGATCTCTTTCATACACCAAAAAATAAAACCTGCTTGAATACTAAAAAAAATTGGTCAGCAATTTTTTGTTTCAGGCAACTCTTTTAAATGTTCCTCAAGTGCACAGGGGTGCTAATTAGAATGAAAAATGTTCAGAAGTTCATTGCAGATTACATAAAACAAACAGAGAGAGAAGCTTAAACTTCTCAGGGAAGTCTACAGCATTTAAATGTTTTTGAACATTGCTGAAACTCATCCACCATGAAGTCCAAAACCCCAAACTGTCATAATGATTTTCGTTTATCTAACTACACTGCCTTGTTTTTCCCAACTTCCAGTAAATGTAACAACCACTGCTAAAATTGGATCAAGATGCCATGGGTTTTAAATCTACTAACTAAAGCTAAACCTTGAGCTTTGTATTTGATGTCTTTCCCAATGACATACAACTGCGTTTCATAATGCTTTAGATAATTTTCAGTGAAAGCAGAGTGTAAGGTGTTCTATTCTCTATGCCTCTAACCCTCTAAGAGCTTGATCTTTCAATCTGTCAAGCCCTGCTCTTCTCTTCTGTTCATGTTGCAAATTTTTTTAAGGACTGCAGGATATGTGCCAAAGATAGTTTGAACTTTTGTCCCTACCTGTTAGGACTGGGGTACTATCCCTAGCTGTTCCCCACCAGCTTTTCCCTCATGAACAGACTCGACCTCCTGCCTTTCTCCCCTTCCTCAACTGTTTTTAGTTAGGGAGCTTATTAGTCTGGTATTTGTAGTCTAACTTCTGCTAACCTAGTATGGGTTAGCAAGATTTATTAACATTTAAGACAACTTTATAAAATCATTTTATAGCCTTGCTTCTAGTTTTCTTGGGTTTTCTGTTGTATAGCCCATTGATCAAGAACTAAATTCTATTGAAAAATCAATAGCTGGAACTATTTCTACATTTTCAAATACAAAGGTGCCATTAATAACTTAATTAATAATTAGACATGTAGGACATGCATGGTTGCCCTGAAATGTTTAAAGAAAAGAGGAGTATGAATAGTGAATAGAGCAAGTAACAGCTTTGACATCAGCTTCAGGAATAACAAGGTATTCACAAAGCAAAGAAGAGAAACCATGTGATCCTTTTTCTCATGAACCCACCACTTCAATGTCAGAGACTCTGGCAAAAGCAATTAAACATGCATTCAGCTTTATACAATGCATTGACCCAGCTTTTGCATCACAGATATAAATGCATCTAATTTCTGTCATTATAGTTTAACAGCTTAATGACCTCTAAAGGCAGAAACATCAGTTTCTTTCCTTTCATGCATGTTGTTCTGTTTCTATTTAGGTATCTTTGTATGCTTCCTCCAGTACATCTCCCACCCACATTTACTGCGTTCTCTTGGTCCTCTCTTTGCAAGCTTCCCCACCCTACCCCCAGGATGTATTTCTAGCAGCTGGGTTCTCTCCTACACAGGTCATCCCTCCTCATACTGTGAAATAGCAAGCCAACCACATAGACATAAATGAGGCTACACTGAAAGAAAAAAGCCATTTGCTATTAAAAAAACCCACCTCCACCACAAACAAACCGATTTTGATGCCTTTAATTTAATGGCGTATACCTTCACGGACCATAAACCAACACTAAAAGGCAGAGCTATTAGAGAAAAGTAGTTTTCATACTTAGAAGTATATTAATGCATACTTGCAAGATTCTAACCTGATTAAAAATCTTTTACTGTAATAGTGCTTACACTGTGATTCTTAAATATTTAAGAGTATAGCACTATTCCAGAACACCATAGAAACAAAACATATAAATGTGCTCTTAAAAATATTTTCCTCATTAAGCACAACAGTTCCACTTTTTTTTAAAAGCTTGACTATTTACTCATCTATATACACTGAAGTACATGTTATATAGTACTTCTTATTCTCTAGACAGTAGCTATGTATTTGAGGACAGTATAGATAAGCACAGTTTAAAGAGTTTCCATCTGCTTCTCTCATTGTTATAGATAAAGAAAACGGCATCAAAGTGTACCAAAGGTGCAAACTCTCTGAATTCTTGTACTCGTTTTTGCACTGGAGAGATAATTTAGGAAATTATTTTCTAACACCAGTCATTTCATATGTGCAAAGTTAAAGCTATTTCCTTCTAACTCAGCATCTCCTTCAGAGAAGCTGCATTCACCTCTGTCGCTGCTCACAGGTCCTCAGACTCTGGGAACACAGACCTCCTGCCACATAACCTTGCTGCATATCTGCTCTACATCCATCCACCTAGATTATTTTCCTTCTCTCTTTGTAATTTTTTTGACAATGTTACAAATCTGGCCACTTTTTATACTGCAGTTTCCCCACCATAAATTAACTACAAGGGACAAAATCAAATCTTGCTTTGTTTATAGGAAGTTTCACAACAACATCAAATTTGGAATTCTTACCATGGTCTGTGAGTTCAGACATGCAGAGTTGACTTGATGTCTCATTTCCACTAGGTTCATTGTGTCCTATGGACACATAGTCGCAAGCAATGACCGGCTGAGAATGAATTAAGGGTTTCAAAGTCTGCTCATCAGATTCCTTAGTCGAATGAAGCAGCATGGAGAAACAGGTACAGTTAGAGCTTTCAGCAGTACAATGGTTGCCCTGATCTACAGAACTGCTGGGACTTGTGTTAGGCAAACACTAAAAAAAAATGCTCCCTTTTTTGTAAATGATTATTAGTGACTCAGCCATAAGCAGAAACAGATTTAACATTTTTTTCTCCAGACACAATAGGAAATAGAAACTAGAGTGAAGTACATGTTATATAGTACTTCTTATTCTCTAGACAGTAGCTATGTATTTGAGGACAGTATAGATAAGCACAGTTTAAAGAGTTTCCATCTGCTTCTCTCATTGTTATAGATAAAGAAAACGGCATCAAAGTGTACCAAAGGTGCAAACTCTCTGAATTCTTGTACTCGTTTTTGCACTGGAGAGATAATTTAGGAAATTATTTTCTAACACCAGTCATTTCATATGTGCAAAGTTAAAGCTATTTCCTTCTAACTCAGCATCTCCTTCAGAGAAGCTGCATTCACCTCTGTCGCTGCTCACAGGTCCTCAGACTCTGGGAACACAGACCTCCTGCCACATAACCTTGCTGCATATCTGCTCTACATCCATCCACCTAGATTATTTTCCTTCTCTCTTTGTAATTTTTTTGACAATGTTACAAATCTGGCCACTTTTTATACTGCAGTTTCCCCACCATAAATTAACTACAAGGGACAAAATCAAATCTTGCTTTGTTTATAGGAAGTTTCACAACAACATCAAATTTGGAATTCTTACCATGGTCTGTGAGTTCAGACATGCAGAGTTGACTTGATGTCTCATTTCCACTAGGTTCATTGTGTCCTATGGACACATAGTCGCAAGCAATGACCGGCTGAGAATGAATTAAGAGTTTCAAAGTCTGCTCATCAGATTCCTTAGTCGAATGAAGCAGCATGGAGAAACAGGTACAGTTAGAGCTTTCAGCAGTACAATGGTTGCCCTGATCTACAGAACTGCTGGGACTTGTGTTAGGCAAACACTAAAAAAAAATGCTACCTTTTTTGTAAATGATTATTAGTGACTCAGCCATAAGCAGAAACAGATTTAACATTTTTTTCTCCAGACACAATAGGAAATAGAAACTAGAGTGCATGAGAAAGAACAGCTAGAAGACAAAGCACTAACCAAACCCTCATTATTTCTGTGATGCTTTCACTGACTATTTCCAAATTGACACTGTTCTCTCAATGCTAAGAGTTAGTGCTAGAATTGAACAGACCTATCTTCTGTTGCAGATAGCTTAAAAGGAAAGGACAGCTTACACTGGGGGTCATTCCAAGACTTTATTCTTACTAAAAAGCCAGTTGAAATGTTAATATTCTTAACTAAGCAAATGCAAAGAGCCATGCCAAATGAGACTGTTTGAAGGATTACAATTTTAAACTTAACTTGAAAATGAATGTATTTTGAACTCTGATGTCACGCAGACTGTCAGTAAGGGTGACTTAATAAAAGAAAATTGTGCAATGAATAGAGAGTTTGTTGAACCATATCTGAATAACTGAATGCACTTTCCCTCATCACAGATCCACAGGTTCAGCTAAGTGGTCCAGACTTTGATGCACTTCCAACTTATTAGTCTTAGAACAGGACTGCGTCTCTAGTGCTAAAGAAAGTGCGTGGAAAACAGGAAAGTGGTGTACACAATGTGCATAAATGAGGCTTCCGAAACAAGACACTGTACTTACATGCAGGACATCGACATTCAGCTGCTGAAAATTACGGGACCTGAACTCTTGCATTCTTTTGATATTTTCTTGATATTTTTCTTCTGCCAACTGTCTGTAAATACAGAATACTTGTGTTTAGGATGTGATAGCAGGGACTGCACAAGGGGGTCTTCTAAAAGTAAATGTGGAAAACCAAATTCCATAGACTCTCATGGTGCCAAACGTTCATGGCAGCTACTGAAGGTGAGGTTAGTTTTAGTGAACTCACAAGTAGATTTCATGCCTTATTTCCAAACACTATTATATTTTTCTTTCACAGCTTGCACAAAATAATTCAGAAACAGTAAATAATTAGTCCCAGCACTTTCTGTTTCTTCCAAAGATATTAAATACTTTGGATGGACTTTATTCCACCATGTAGTCCAGGGACCTTTCAGCTGAAGACAGGCATACAACTTGCATGCTACGAACACTTCACTTCACTTGGTAACTGCATTCTTCTGTACGGGACTATTTAAACCTGGTGCTGCATTAAGCGGCTCTTCCAGTTTCCATTACTATATTCCCTTCCCATCCATCTCTAGATTTGTACTGCTGACAGCAGATCTCCAGTCTGAGAAGGTACTGGTTTTGCACTGTTTCAAATACTTTCAGTGAGAGTGAGCTGGCAACAACCCAGAGCTGGATATAGATCCATTGTAAAGATTCTTGACTGAGAACAAGATTTGAAGATGAGTATCTTGCCTTTACATTACAAAATAAATCTATTTAATTTTGTTCCTGGGAAAAAAAAACATGAAAACCTAAATAGAAAACACTAAGGCTTGAGAAAGTGAAGAAAATGAAAAGCAAACTAGAACTATCCTACAATTAATATTATTTCCTAATCTCCATCCATTTTAAAAAAGTGAAAGGGACAGACTTCCTATTTATAAATAGAAGTACAAAAATTGGCCTACCATATTATTGAAAACACTGTATAGAAGGTTAAATTTACATAGTGGTTTTAATTCAAGGAGATTTTTTTTTTAAATGAGAATAAATTTACATGCCATCTCCAATATTAAATGAGATGGTAAGTGTCAGGCATACATGCTGGTAAAAAATATTTTTCAAAAGGAAATGAAAGCCTTTAGTTTTTTGTTTGTAGCCTTTGGATATGGGCATCACAAGTTGGCACAAGTAATGCTATGACGTGATTTTACTCAGCGTTTTCACTCAACTACAATTGCTATTGATTTGCAGGTATATGTAGCTGCAGAGTTTCTGAGGCCATAAATACAGACTTCATGTCACCTCACAATATTCTTCTGTACTAGGACATCTTGCCCTACTGAATTGGTAACTTGCTTTGGCACGACAGGGTTAAGATGCTGATTCTCATGATCAAAAATAATTATTCCCTCTGTTATCCTCTATAAATAACTGAGTAAATATTTGTTAATTTACATTGCACTTTGCAAAATGTTTTTGAAGAAAACATTAAAAATGAATTAAAAATTAATGTGCTGCTTTTCCAATTTTCATTCATACCAAATAAAACATTGAATATTTTTAACTGGGAAAAACTCAACTGTGTCATCAAAACAGTATATTCTTTTTTATGTAAAAAAAGGAATCCATGCATACACACATAGCTTTCCAGCTATTTCTCATATTCCACTCAGAAATGGTACTACTTCTCCTTCAAATTCCCCCTTTTATTATGTCTCCTTCACTCAATAAAAAAACCCACAAATCATAAAGCCTTTATAACATGTCCCTTCTCCCTGTTTGATCATTTGATAAGACTATGCTCCGAGCTCTTAACTTCTATCCGCAAATCTCTTAGGCCAAAACAATTGACAAAAGCTGGATTGTAACTAAATGTCCAACTCCTCAGGCTGTGCAATCCTTTAAACGACAAGTCATTAAAAAAATCTGTTGTAACACATGTGAAAATCCGTCACATACTTATTTAACCAGAAACCCATGCTCAAAGTACCAGTTTTGGGCTAATGTTCTGACTTTTTTACCCCTACATAAATAATTACTGTTATTTAACTCATCCAAAATCCTCATTCACTTTGAGTAGTTGAAGACTATTTTTATTTTTACCTTGACAGTTCTAACTCTCTTGTTAGACTGTTGGACGCAGAGAACTGCATGGTTAGGGCATGAGGCCAATGTTATGCTCAACTTACTTCAACTTCTTTGCTTTCTCATCTGCAGCATTTAACTTCCTCAACCTCATTCGTTCCCGCGGTGTCATTTTCTGTACTTCAGACAGTTCCTGCAGAGTTTGTAAATGAACTTTCTTCTGTCTGAAATTGAATGCATGCAAGTCCATCATCATATAAAAACATAAATATCAGTATTTTGATTTGATATTGAAACATAGTGACATTTCAGATGGAATAATTAGACAGTCACAGGTACTATAAAAGACTAATTTGGAAAGCAAACATCTCTTAAATTGAAATATTTAAACTTGGACTTAGATTCATGAAGAAGATGAATCATTTCAGGTGAGAATGGAAAAAGGCAGATTCAGCTCCTTAAAAGAATAAATGTTGAAACACAGTAAAATATTTACTCTGCAGGCTTCATCACTGAGTATATTCCAAGTACAAAGGCAGTCTTTAAATGAGAACCACAGAAAAAAACCAGTATCACCCATACATTTTACATTTACTATTACAAGCCATCTAGAATAAAAGACACTATTAATCTGTCTTTAATGACAGATATAATTATCATGTTGCCCTCTTGAATTTCTGGTCCTAATCAATAATAACAATCCACTAGTAAAATGGTCTCCATAGACCATCTCTGAAAGCTGAGCATGAATTATTGACATACATATTTCAGCTGTTTTTATCAACACAGGAGAGCAATGTTAGTCCTATATTAAAAAAAGGATATTAATCTCAGATTTCTACCTCACATCCTACAGTAATTACAAAAATTAAACCATAGTTTGCAATGCCTTCGAAATCGTATTTCACTTACACTGATTTTTTCTATTATTTATGAGATCAAGTATTCATTTTGAATTACCATTTTTGCCCTTATGAGATAAATTCACTTCTGATCATGTAAGAGCCCAGTTTTGTAATCATTCAAATTGCAACACCTTCTGGACTATCATTTTGAAATCAGGATTTTAATAAATGAGAAGTTTTCGTTATGCTTTTCAATTGTTGACTATAGAGGGAAATAGTGTAAAGACATGAATGTTAGTCTGAAATATGAAAGACTAAGGACAAAGACAAGAGTTCAATTATTCATAAGAATGGAACTAACTCTTCAAGTATGAATAATGTAGACATATTTCATGTCCCCTGTAAAAAAGTCTAATTTAAATTATAAGAACCTCTTGGGAAAAAAAAAGTCATTTTTCATCCAAGTTGAAACTGAACTTGTACAGCTTTATGCTTACTTAAATATTTAAAATTTATGACTTGCATGGGACTGGAATAAAGTAAGCCATTAGAGGCCTTTACTAGAAGAAACTAGACTCAACTATACATGGAAAAAATAATTCCTGGCAAGAAAAAAAAAAATAATCATAAATTCAAAGTAGCAATGTTTGGGGAGGACACTGTAATAAGCAGCTCCTTGTACACTGACTCAGACCAGAGTATTGTGACATTACAGCAGATGTGGAAAATTCACTATATTCAATTAATTTCTCCTCCACTTTTCTGTTTTCTACCATTTTTCATGTATTTTTATTTCAATTTTACCTACCTCTTTAGATCCAGGATTGCAGAAATTATTTGGCATTTTGCTTACCAGTTGCAATACAGACAGCTAGCATTCTCATAAATACAATGAAAGTCATAATAAGATTATGAATTTATGCATATTCCAAACATTTAGCCAAAAAGAATCAGACTGCAGCACATTTGAAGATAATTTATAGTGAAGCTTCTCCTAGGATTTTTTTCTCAAATTGATGCCCTGAATTTGAAAACCTCAAGGTAAATTTCCATGCTCAATCAAAAACTGTTGCTATCCATTGGTCCATGATTTTTAGGAGCTCTAAAACTCTGCATGGCAGCAGCTGACTTTCTATTTTCTTTTAAAAAACGTAAAAGAACATGATGTTTGCAGTTAGAAATTGCTCTTTCTCTTAGGGACTACAGACTTGCTAATGAACAAGAATAGTTATAGACTCTGGGATATGCATTCATGTCCTCCCCACATGCTAGCTCTGTCACTATATGATGTCCATTTGGAAGGTGATGAGACTCAATATATTCAAACTAACGACAACGCATCAGGTATGGAACATAGTATATGTTACAAATAATAGAAAGGGATTTTGTCCCTCTGTTCTAGAAGCATGGGGATATTTGAAGTCTGGGCATAATTTTGCAGGTAAAAATACTGCTTGCTCAAAGCATCTACAATCTTTTGGTGCATACAGATAATTTGAAAACTTGTGCCCACAAAATAAAGGCACGGATCAAAAGTTTCTTGAAGATTCACATACTTTATGTTTCAATAAGCATGAAATACTCAGTATAATTCAGATAGAGTTGGCATGATATTTAGGCAAGATTTCAGTGCCCCAAAAGCGTTTAAGGTATATCTCTAAGGGAACATCTCTGCAGTTAACTATGTTTAATTAGAAGAGGCAGGAATCCACTCAGAGTTAATTGAATCAACCTGAATACAGCAGCCATAGACAAAAGATAGGTCTAATGTTTCCCAGCTATTGCATATCTACCCATCTGACTCTCATATTTCCAGTACAATAGCAAAGGGCTAGTTCTAGCAGAAGCAATCATGCAGAACAGTAAAGCCAAAAACTTGACAGCAGCCTGAGTCGGCTCCATTTGCTGTTATTTATTAGATTATTATTACTAGCCAATACAGGTATTATTTATTGCTGCATTTTAAATCTATGATTGAAAAGTTCAACAACCTATTTATACTAACGCTACCTATTTATACTAAAACAGAGAACTTTAGTCTGATAAAAAACCAGACTCATCTGTCAACAAGAGAGAGCAAGAACAGAAGTGACGGTGGAAACCGAAACCCCAATTTCTAGAGATGAGAGCTTTACAGATACAGTCCCAGTAGTTAAACTGGGTAAAAAAAGATGTACAGAAGATTTTCCTGTGTGGAATTCCACTGTCTTTGCTCCGCTCTCTTCCTACCTCTGATATTAAATAACACTTTCTTTGGAAAAGCTGACGCTGGTCACCTCTCCTGAATGGATGCTTGCAAGCAGCAGATTTGGCAGCATCTGCAAAGTGACCACAGCTGCAAAACTGTGGGTACTCTCCGATAGCAGAGGCCAAAAAAAATGAAGGGGAAAGGCCTATTGCCTCACAGGCTCTGCTAATTCTGGATTGTAGCATGGGCTTCTCTATTGCTGTTACCTATTCATTCAAAAGAAATTTCATATCCTGTTAAAGTCTTGACAATTATTTAGAGGAAACAAGAAACAGGGGTGTCCATGGCGTCCGCACAGGATCACAAACTCCTGACTTTGAGCGCACTAGCTCCTAACAGAGCAAAACCACATACAGAAAATTCAGGGACAGCAAGCAAAAGGGAGGGCCAGCTGCCATTGAAACTGCAGAGCTAATTTATAAAGGCAAAATGAAATTGCCCATGCTGACATTTGTTTTAATCATTGCAGCATTGTAATTTAATTAATTAATTTGGTATATATTCAGAGCCTAAAAAAGAGATCATGTGCGAAGGTGCTACTGACGTAAGATCCAAGAAACATTGCTAGCCTTAACTTCTCACTATAGTTAGAAGACAAATATAATAGTATTCTTTGGATGTATTAGCTGAATATTAGTTTAAGTGCATATGCTTTTAGTTTGGTATCATTTAGGAAACATAGCTATCACATTCAATAATTAGTAGGTACACAAACAGCAGCACTATAAATGATCATAACTAAAATGGTGATCTAAACCTAAACCTTCAAAATGTAAAGACAAAGGTCATAATTTACATACTAACTGGTACTAAATTAACACATGCATATACTACACATGCACATGCAATTTACACATTTATATAATAAAAATAATTGACCTGCAAATCCTTTTTTTCCCCTCCTAAATCTTAATTATGCATCTCACTAATGTAATTGCTCTTCTGTATTTCCTGGGGAATGGGTCCCTCTAAACATAAAGCACTATGAGATTAACACAAGTGTTTACAACATATTATTTGGCAACACTAATTTCATATACTGCTGCCCATAAAACACTTAAAAATACTTACACAGCATCAAAAATGGGAGCAGCCTCTTTCTGCCAGTTGAGTGCCTTGTCTTTCACAGTCATGTTTGTGAACTTGGACTGTATATTCTGCAAGGAAATAAAATAGAAGTGGTATCAACACTTGAGGCTGGAGTGATCCAGACTCTTCAGCTCTGACCCAATACAGTCCTAATGTAAAGACTGACTGAGCAGTTTCCTTCCCCACCTTTTTAGAAAGCCAGATAAGATACACACTGAAGCAGGGACCAAAAGAGCAAGAAGCACTATTTTTCATTAAAATTATGACTAACCAGAACAGTTTAGAGATTGTACATACCCTGGCCTGAATGATCTGCACTTGTTACACATAAATGCCCATTTGCCTTATTGCTCATAACATTTAAAAGGGGATACGATACATTCAGCAAGTAGAGTGACAAGGGCTTCATTTCTCACTGCCTCGCTACCTCAGTCATATTTGTAATTTAGCTCTGAAAGTCCCCTGGATTAATGTTCCCATGAACTGCTGTCTAATTATTTTTTCTCAACACATTTTCTCTGCCTCCATTCTGCTTTTGCAAGATATACTCAAACAGTAAGTGTACAACTGTCACTTTTGCTTATATACCTTTAGTTGTTCATCAATATAAGGAAATTTTAGGATCTCTGCTGCTGCTGGTCTCAATGAAGGATTCTTATTTAACATGCTGGAACATTAAAAAACAGAAGTCATAATTAAGTGGTTTTCCAAATTAACTTATAAACCTGCTAAACAAGAAAATAACATACCTGCACAGCACAGCATTCAATTTGCTTGGATATCTATCAGGAAGAGAAGGTGTATCACCTTCTACAATTTTTAACACAACAGACAAAAAATTGTGTCCAGTAAATGCATGGTTCATACAGCACATCTCGTATAATATGCATCCCAGCGACCTTGAAGAATAAAATAATAGGAATAGTATAAACAATATTTTTAAAGTAGCATGCATAGTGACATTACAGTAAGTAAAATCAAAATTGTAAGCCCTTTTCTCCCAAGAATAGAATATTTCATTATCATGCTATCCTTTTCATCTGAAATATTTTTATTCAGATCACAAATTAGTAACTTTATAAACAGGAGAAATCATCATTCTGTTTCCATAATTGCAGGAACAAACATAAATTCTGCATATAAATACACATATTCTTATATATTACACACACACACACGTGTGTGTGTGTGTAAAAATAAAGTAAAACCCTATCATATAAACAACTTTAAGTGGTTACTCATTAAATTAAGAACAAAGTATTTAATTAGTGACTGACTGAGAAAATAGTTTAGTAGTGTTTGGACACAGATTTGTTTAAATTGATTTTGCAAATTAATTTCTGACAACAAACTGTGGCTACAATTCAAGTTCAAACTAAATAATGCCAGTTTCAAATAACAGAAGTAATCTGGTGTGATTTCACTCATTTGGCCACATACTCAAAACAGGTTATGAAATCGGTTTGTACTCAAAGAAATATCAAATTTTAGATGAGCGCATCATATTGCAACATCTAAAACTAATTTTCGTTGAAATCTTATTTGGAAAAGAAAAGAAGAAATCTGAACATGTAGGTCTGGAGACCTAGCTAATAACCAGTGTCAGTTTAAAATCATTAAAAACCAGGAGGGATGACTACAAACAATTTTAAATGGGCCTCTGATTTAACATCACCTTATTTACCAGTCCTAATGGAGATCACAAAAGATCACCAAGTTGAACATTTTAACATAAACACTCTCACAATAACTCATATAATTACTATTCGTAACAGCTTGTACTTCAACTGGGTTCTCTCTGAAAAATGTTTTTTAAAAAATAGGCGAGTTGAGCTTCTCAAGCTTTGAAGGATGCTCAGTGTTACCTGTGGTCAGAACTGAGGCATCGATGAGTGACTTGATCAAGGTCATAGAAAATGCTGGTGAGAGACAGCTCCGGGGCCAGAATCATATAGGTAACCAACTCAAATAACAGAGTAACTTTACTCTTAATGTAGTATTTGATTGTGGTATTTATAATTTGCAGAAGCAGGATTAAAATAAAGCATAATGATAGTAAGTAGAAGTACGTATCAGTAAATGGCTTTGACAAAAAGAGTATAAACATTATCTTTGAAAGCAAATAATGAATGAAGTTTCAATTGGTTAAAGAAGACGAATTGATTTGGTCTGTCTGGCAATAAAAGAATAAGAGCAAATAATTTTAAAGCCAAAACCCAGGCTCTACATACAATGCCAATAAGGAAGAGGAGAGAGAATAGGGGGGTTCACTCCCTGGTACTTCTCAAAGCAGTATGAAAACAATTGGCAGAACATTTTTGCTAACTACTACATAAAGAGCAACTACTGAGGTACATAAATAATTGCCTAGTTTTCTAAAGATTTAACTGTCAAGCAGCTTTCAAACTTCCAAAATCAGTAAACAGTAACACACAGATGATGATCTATATTTATGATGTATGTTCAAACTCTGAAACAAGATAATTACTACATGAGAAAATACTTAAAAACAAAAAGAACAAGAAGAACCCTACACACATGGCATCTGAAAGCATCAAACAAGAATGGAAACCAGCCAGAGGGAAGAAAAAAGGAAGGACAATCCCAACCTGACAGACTGTACTATAACTGCTTTTTGCAGAATCAAGCTGTTTTGGAGGCTGCTTGATTCTGGCAGCCAGAAATTGCTTAATGAGCCATTAGGCACACAGGATTTGCCACATCAGGGAAGCCCATTTATTCATCTAATTTAGCACTCTGACTACACCTGAGGCTTTGGAGGAAGATGAAAAGAACACCCAGGGCATTCTGCTACAGCCGGGGCTGCAAACAGGCTACCCAGGGATAGCCCCATCTGTCCCATAAAAAATAAGGAGGAAAAAAAAAAAAAGAAAAAGAGGGAAAAGAATAAAGTTTTTACTGCAGGATACAATTATTTGAAATTAAATAAATACTTCCTAAACTGAGAAATGCTGCCCTAGGTCCCAGAGCAAGGCTATTTCTTCCCAGGACAGCTGCTGAGCTGCAATTGCCCGAGGGAATTACCACCAAGCTTTTGCCTCGAGACTGCATTTCTCAGTTGTGTTTCGACAGTCCTGGTCTACGCATCTTGTAAGGAGCATATTCAGCAAGAGAAAATTGCTTCCTGATTCCCATAAGCAATGACCCAAACATATAATTTAATTACTTTTATAATCTTAGCTTGAGTAAGGCCAGTGTTTTAAAAGTCTAAAATGGTCGTTAAGCTATCCAGCCAGAGCGTTTGGTTTGATGGCTCCATAGTTTCGTGATTAGGTTTGACAAAGGTCCTAACCAGCACTTCATTTCAGCAAAACTGATGTATGACCATTTCACTTATGCTCAATTACACCCTAAAACGGAGCGTCTGGAGAGGCTTCAGAGTATTCTTCTGCGATATCGACTGACAGACCTCTCACATCCCCTTCTCAGGAGAAACCGCCCTGAGGTGATACTTGTTTACATAAGCATTGCTGTCCTTTTAACATCTTCTGATCTTTGGTACTTTATAATCCTTCAAAGGCTGTAAGATCCAAGTTAGCTTTTTAAATTAAACTCCAAAAGCCAGATAATCTAAATGCATATCCCTTTGCAGCTTCTATTTCTCAGTCTGATCATACCAGAAGGTCTTAAGAATTTGCAGACTCCAGAGTCTGTGAGGAATATATACACGCACACATGAACCGTCACAACTCTGTCAGCCACTGCTTTGCAGGTCTTCACTGCTTTTACTGCTATTTTTGGTAACTATTCTACATAAAATTTGGCAGTAAAAAAAACCAACTTAATTTTTGGGTTGTTAATATTAAAGAAAAAGACAAATTGGAGGAAAAGCACAGACAAGCAAGCACAATTAAAATGAAAGGCCCAAACTCTGTCATGTAGGAAGCCCAATTTACCCAAACTGTACAGACAAACCATCTGTCAAAATCTGACAGTTCTTGATGGAATTTAAATGGATTTTAATGTGACTGTGACATTGCTTTGTCTCTGGAAGAGAAAAAGGGAGTTACTTATCCGTCTCTTGTAAAGAATTTGCTAAACCTCTAAGTGAAAAAAAGCATTTGTTTTTCAACTAAATTATTTCTGTTGTAATTTCTGCCTGAGATAATTTGTAACATATACTATGCACAAATCCATTGAAAAGTTCCTGGGTGGAGTTTGCCTTATATTGAAGGGATGCAAAAGGGTTAACAAAAGGACCTTTGTGATGCCAACTGTAGATCCATCTTAAATTGCTAGCACTGTGTTTTAGGTTAACTTGCTAATCATATGAAGTAAACTACAGATAAGAAACTAACACTGTAGGGAATGTGGAAGAGGAGAGACTAGTAGGAAATGGCCCATCTTTGTTACAGGCCTTGGAAGGCATGTAGGAGAACAAAGCGTCTGGCACTTTGTCGATACAAGGATAGCCAATGTCAGTATGAGGATAGCCAAGGATGGGGAGCCAGTTGATACTGGCTGTGTTGTTCTGACAGTGGAATAAGGGGGGTAGAAGCTGGAGTTCACCAAAAGGACAAGGTGAAGAAGAGGAGTGAATGAAGTAAATGACCCCTGAAGACCATCGACTCAAATCACTGAGCATGCGCAGTCGGGAGGGACTTATGGAAATGACCTCTTGAAACTAATTTTAATACGAAGCGAGGACAGATTATGCCTATGTATAGGCGTATTGGGAAACTTCATGTATATGTAACACTTTGCTACATACAAACAGGGCAAGCTGCCATGTTGCGGTGCGCACAATTTTGGTGGGACTACCCCCCGTGCTGCCCAGCGCTGAATAAACATACCTACTTTACAACCTTACAGGTTGTGGAGTCTGTTTCTGCACGTCAATATGCTTATAGCTTTGAAAATAAGACAGAAATGTTACTGCTGATTACTGTTTGCATACACTTTATCTCATCCACTCAGAAACAAAATATGGAATAGTTACAATAGCCACTACATGGACAGGCAATCAATATTTACACTCAAGGACCTATACTGATCCTTGGCCAACTGCCAGCCAGTACAGATTTCAGAGTCTCATCTGAGAATCCCCAACCTCCCACACAATTGGAAAACCTGCAAAAAACTGCAGGTGCAATACCACGGTAACTAATAGTGGCAGGCAAATCGTGGTAATGTTATGCAGGAGCTGAACAAGGAGACAGTTTCTGCTGGGATGGGCAAGAGTGATGCTCAATTCCCAGTATGAAAAAATCAGGACCTAAACTTGTTGGGACCCCTTGTGCCAAGGGAATCCCAGTTTCCTGGAACAAAAGAGATCTCGGGGAAAGATACAACAGGACCCTTTAGCTTTAGGACCATTTCCAAGAGTTCTCATTGACCTGTTTGGTAAGTTTGGGCTTTCTAGGTTGCATGAAGATAAAGGAAAGTACAAAGGTTATTCAATAAACCTCAGATAAAAAGTTAGAGCTCACCTAATGCATTAGTGAGCAGTCGCAACTGCCCTGAATGCATTAAGTACCTGCTTTTAGTTTACTCTTCCCTAGAAATAAATGTTTTCATTTCATTCAAATAGTTCTGGGAGTTGGAGGAGGCCAATTCTTCTCAGCCTAATGTCATGAAGCCCAAGTCTGTTTGGGCCAGAGTGATGACTTTTAGTCACTACATGGACTGAAATAAAAGCTGCTTAAAAATTTTTACTTTTTTGGTAGACTTTCATGTAATCCCCCTGGGTCTCCGATTGCTTTCTCAATAACATTGCTGGGTCTCCATCTGCATTTGTCAGTTCTGCCATGATTCTTCAACAGTCTTAGCTGGATGGCATTGAGGTAATCTGGTAGATTCTGACCCACTATTTCCTACCAACAATAGTTAAAAAAAAACCCTCCCAAATAACAAAATAAAATCCACACATGCCTTGTAAACCAAAAGAGCTAGTAAGCTACATCAGCCTAAGGCCAAAGGATCTAATATATACACCTAGCATATGTAGTGTGTGCCTCTGGGTCATGCTGTGCTCAGGTAGAAGTGAGTCCCAGCTGCCAAATGTCTGCACACATATCACTTGCTAATCCTCCACTCATCCTGGCCTCTTGAACCAGTCACAGTCAGCTTGGCTGCTGGCGCTGCACTGACTCTTCTCCGTCTGCCGGCTCATTACAGAGAAGCACCAACGGGCAGAGGGGTTGGTGAACTCCTGAACTGAGACCAACTCCCCAAGAAAGCTCCTCGCCTGGAAGGGAGGAAACCCCAGACTGTGTCATCTGCAAAGGCTTTTACTTACTGCCTGGCCAGTCCAGGCTCAGGGATGGTAAGGAAAACATGGATGGCAATTCTAATTTGCCTCCTGTGAATTAAAATTTGGCATAAAACATGGAACAGCAAAGAACTCCAGACCTGAAATTTTAACTGAGGACAAACATAAACACTGCAGCTTCTCTGAGGCTAATTACAGAACTTCTTCAGTATGTAAAAACTGTGAAACATGAGGCTTTTCCCCATCTATTGCCCTTGGGTTATAAAGGACGATACTTCTTGTACCAGCCGCTGCGCTGTGACTACTCAAGCCAGTTTTGAAGAGTCAGTTGCACAACATTTCAGTGAACCTGAAAAGCACAATGTCTCTTTAGAGCACATCATTAATGCAGCATAAATTCTTTCCAATGAACAATGCTTAACTGGACTGAGGAGTGAGAGGTCCATGATAGCTTAGCAAGATAGCAATAATTGCCTTTTCTAGAAGATATTTTACATTTTCCTACATTTAATATGGGAACACTTGTAATTCTGAATTTTTGTGTGCAATATTTTGAGTCCTGCTAGAGATCAGAAGGACATGTTTGAAGAGAGAATGTCACTTCAGGTACTCTTAAAAGACTCGGGCAGTTTCTTGACAAGTAACTGAACTTCCTGCAAAGCAGCACAAGGATTTACTCTCACCTGGAGTCTCTTGCTCCCCAGGTGCTCAGGGATCTCTCATGTTTCAGTCCCCATTAAATGGGGCAAATGCAAAAAAACCAACAAAAGAAATCAAACAGAATCATTATTAAACTATTAAATGAAGAGATTAAATGGCCAATATATCAATCAAATGTATGAGTCATGGTAGTTGACAAGTCCTGATCAAAAGAGAGTTTCTTGGCTCAGAAAGAGAAGTTCTTTGCAGGCTGGGGGTCTCATGAGTCAGGGCACACCTCCTCCTTAGTGCCCCTACAGTGAGGGCCAAGAAGCTCCTACTGAAGGCGGTTCCACCCTTGGATGAGTGCTCTGGATACTGCTTTGGAAACATTACAAAATGCATAAGGTATGGCAGAAAGCTAATAGCTAGTGACTTGTTGGGGGGTGGGGACATTTCTGCTATTTTTTAAATTTTGAAAGGGTGATCAACACATCTGTAAATATATTGGACAAAATTCTGCTTTCATTTACTCTGTACAACTTCGATGAATTATATGGATTGACACCTGTAGAAATAAATAGAACTTAAATATATGTATTTTACCTTCCATTTCAACTGCAATAAAAGAAATTACTCTTTACAGTAATAGAGCACAAAAGGTGGGTTTTCCTATCTGTTTACTTGTTTTTTACATCTTTTGAAATCTCCTCTGAATATATTTTTATTGACTACATGTACTAACTGATATTTGTTTTGATACAGATGAACAAGAGAGAATCTGACATCAAATCCATCTCAATTCAGCTACACAGACCATGAGATGAGATTCCTGACACATCTGTTAACAGGATTGAACATGCTAACTGTGAAAAATGGTTGCTATGAGTTGAAAGTACAGCCGACTGTTCTCAACTTTTAGAATTACACCTTGCAGTCACAAGTATATTTTGAAAAGGCAGAAGTAAGCAGAAGACAAAGTAGACTACCAAGTAAACAAACTACATTCCAGTGGTCAAATATTTTATGAAGGAAATTTCCTCATTTGAAATATTCATAAAAAAGGAACCTTCAGATTAGCATATCTACAGAAACAAACACCTCTTAACAGAAGAAACAAAACACATTTTATAAAAAATATACTATGACAATTTAAAAACAATAGTTTTAAGCATCATCTTAAGACACAGCAAGATGTTTTAGGACACACATATAAACAAGGCAGTTATTTTCCCCATTCAAAAAATCATTCTTCATCTTAGCTTACAAGAATACCTGCACATCTAAAGGTTTCCTGAAGTCTTTCAACAGATTTCAGGTTCTCAACTTAATGCTTTAACCATCACCTCAGAAGTCCTGACCTCAGGAATTTGTGCCAAGTGTAGAACTCACAATTTTCTTTCTACCTTTGAGCCTTTTATAAAACAGAGTGCCTTTTTGCTTCTGTCCTACACTCCAGTTATTCTCATTTTCAGCTCTCCTTCCAAGTTCCTTCTTCCTTTTCACATTTGCCAATGTCTTTCAATTCAGTTCCTGAGAAGATCCTTCTGCTTCCCTCTCAGCCAGTAACTACTCTTTCCTCATCCACTTGGAAGTTTCACAGAAACTTGCTTCTTTCCATTCATCTTTCTCAATATGAAAAAGATTTCCCCCTTCCTAACAAAACTTTAACTTTGTCTACAATCATCCTGTGTCATGGCAGAGACTGGACCTGAATCTTACTCTACTTTGAAGTCCCAGATAACCCAGAATAACAATAAACTACATGATGCTTAACACAAAGAGCAAACCTTCCAATTGCAGCATATGACACAAACGTCCTGGAATAATTTTAGTGGAGACGTGAGAGCACCCTACTGAGGGAACCATTTTTTTAGAAAAAGTAGTTCCTAAATAAAGTCAAATGTTGACCTAGAAAATAAATGCCTAGTCCAACTGAAATAGCATGCTGACTACTCACCAAATGTCAGATTTTGTGTTATATCCCTGGTGCTTCAGCGCCTCTGGACTCATATAGTATGGTGTCCCAGTAAATGTAGTTGCCAGATCACATGAACCCATCAAATGACAAGAAACTCCAAAGTCCCCTAGAAGTAACAGCAGAAACAATAATCGATTCGTATAAATTCCATAAATCTGTACCTATTAATACAAACTGTTTGGGTTTATTATTAGACACGACACAATGACTGTACATTAACATAAAAAAGCTATAATTTTAAAATATGGAAAAAAAACATTTTTTCTGTAATTCTTCAAAATAAAAACACTAGAAAATCATAGAACTATAGAACGATGTAGGTTTGAAGAGGCCTTACAAGGTCATCTGATTCAAACCCCTAGCTCAAAGCAAGGCCAGCTTCAAAGGTACATGAGGCTGCCCAGGTCCAGGTTCAGTCAAGCTTGGAGAACCCTCAAGGCTAGAGATCTTGTTGCTTCTCCAGGCCCCTATTCTTGTGTCTGACTGTCAAATAAATATTTCACCACAAATCAAAATGCTGTATCAGACATGGCTTTATTTAAATCTCTTTATTGACAAAATGTCTGCTGGACTGTTCTATCATACTAAAATACAGCTTTAAAAAGTATGGAAATCTCACCAATTTTAAGATGATTATGTTTCAAAAATATATTCTTGGCTTTCAAATCTCTGTGAAGTATTCGCCTGGAAAATAAAAGGAAATTCAACCTCATCCAACCTGAAGCATTCACAGTCACGTACCAAGTATCTCAAGTATTTCTCTTCATTCCTTGTTAGGAAGGCCAGCCCACCACTGCTACAGTCTAACCCCGTAAGTGACAATGCAGAGATGATGGCTTTAAGGAGCTTCACGTAAGCACGAAGGTGCATTCACAGACACCCACATGTAGGATGAGAGCCTAAGCAGCCAGGATAACAAAAATGCACCCAGGGATCCCAGCTTGAGAATACAGATACAGGCTTAATGTGAGCTGCAGAGGAAGGGATAAGGGCAAGTCTTCCTATCTGGCTCTTCTTAAAAGCATTACAACTTGTTTTCTGCCCGAAGAATAAGAAGACTCGTGATAGAATAAGGGATAAGAAAAACAGCAATAAGACTCAAATTCTCAAAGCTCAGGGAACTCTCCTTCAAGGCAAATGTATTACTTGAAAGACAAATATGTGTAGACTAGGCTAGTAGTTCAAATTTTTACAGTAACAGTGTGGAAGATAAAAGAACTTTACAAAGACAGAAATCAAAAGGAAAAGAAAAAGAACAACTAGCTTTTACATACTCATTTTTCCATCAAAGACTGAAGCAACACTATAAGCTACACACCACGCAGGGACAAACAACATCTCCTCAATTTCCTGAAATCTTAATGTGTGACAGTCATTCTCCATCCCCTTAGGAAAATAAAATATCTCTACAATATACAAAACATGTTCTCCATAATTGTTGTTACTAACTCTTCCAAAAGGGTTCCCTACTACCTCAACTAAACTAGAACTCATCCACTTTTAAATTCCTTACAGCTTGATAACACACAGTATTAGTTATCAGCTCTGCTCAGGAGGAGGTTAGAACAGCATTTGGTGCACACTGGTCACAGAAACTGCATTTGCTCATACAAATACTGTAGCTGTTCAGCCATTTAGAACAGATGCAGAAAGGAACAGAGGTTCTAAGATTCTTGAGATGTGGGCGGGAAAAAGAAATATAGTAATAAATTTTACTTGTTCTTGAGCAATCTTCAGGTGTTATCTCAAATTTTATTGAATTATTGAAGTCTTTTGCATTAAGATACTGAAATTATTTCCAGAATAGTTTCCATATTAAGACTAGAAAATGCATATTCTACAGCACAATTTAAATACGCAATTTAGTCAACAGGTCATTTGAAAATAATTTTTGCAAGAAGAGAAAAAATATTAAATTCAATATACTCAGTTCACAAATGGGAAAAACTGTGAATAAGAACTACTGGAAGATGTGTTAGTATGCACATAGACTGAACATGAAAAAGAAACATTTCTATTTTTATAGGACATAAAGAAAAGAGTTCTTTATGCTTCTTGTGGCAATCTTTCTAGTTTGGTCCTGAAAGTAATGCTTGTAGAGAAAGGTTTGCACATTGGGAAAAATGAAGGTTTTATTCAGTATGCCTCCACTGATGTTTATAAATATTTTTTTTCTCTCTTCGGCAACTTTCTTGAGCAATACATGTATAGTCATCATATGTCACACTAGTAAGGAAATTAAGCTAAGGTGGTATTCATCATTATTTCATAAGCCTATATATACACATAGTTTTACATAAATCTTGTTCTGCTAATTTAGATTCATAGCCTTGCCTTACCATTCATCACATGGAGTCTTTCCAAGAACTTAATTTCACTGAGTTAGATTTTTCTTGCATATTGTTATTGATGTTGGTGGGTTTTGATTTTATTTTTTTTTTTTTATCGCTTTGTAGAAATACAACCACGGATTCTTTGAATCTAAAAGTTTCCTGGATGTCTGTGATTTGAATAGCAGAATATATCTAGATAGAATATATCTTGATATATAAAACCTATCCAGAAAGCTTTCAGTAGCGTAGTATTTTGAAAGGTGATAAAGAGAAGATGTTTGGGTCACATTAGTTTGAATTAGAATGTAATGCTAATATAAACTTGCAACATATTGATGAAAATGTTATGCAAATTATTTGCATTATTAATAATTATAAGATGCTTTTATATATTAATATGACTAAGAAATACTTGGGATGATTCTTTGGAATTTTGCGTGATGATGTCTCTCAATGCAAGCTACCTTATTCTGCCAGGATATGTCAGAAGATAAACAAGTTACAAGCTGAAACCTTAACTGAAACAACTACTTTAACTCTAGTAAGAAATAAATATTGAGCCTGCACTGTAAATCTAGTTTAAGAAACAGTGTAGCTTTTTGTTGTAGAAAGAGACAGACCTATAAAGGTAATGTGAATTAACTGGGCTCCAGCTAAGTTTAATCTAACTTGAAGGTCAGCAAAGTGGTTATTGATATTTTGGGTAGAAATTAACACTGAAGGACAGTTTCAATTTTGGGCAATAAATATACCCATACCTACGTTCTGTAGAGTACTTGCTTGTTGTCTCATAGTCATAAAAAAGCAGCACAAAGCACTAAGCAGCCTCCCTGAATAAAGCTTCCTCTGCAACATATCAGCAAGCGAGGCTGCTTGAAGCTGAACTACTTGACTGCTGTGAAATATTCAGCAACTAATTTCTCTTTCCTCTACCTGAAGAACTATTTAGAGAAATAAGAGGTTCTGGGTAAGTCTGAATCCTGTACTAGGGAGGCCAACATGAAATCCAGATAAAGTACTTGGGCAAAGCCTGCTATCCTGTAGATTGAAAACAACAGATGTGTTTGCATAAGCAGTAACTTTATAAAAATCTCTGGTTTAGCCTATTGTTCATAAAGATTAACAAAGCGATGGATAATGTAATGGTCAGCTTTATACAAATTTAGGTGGAATGAATCAATGGCCTCAACTGTCTCCATCTAGGTAAGACCACTGAACTATGTTGCCGCTCCTTTACTTCTCTCCCTGGTTATATCAATGACAGATGAGGATTGGATCTATTTAATTCTAGATAATTTAGCTTTCAAGTCTAAAATTAAAAAATCCTTCCAATTATGCAAAATAGCCAGAGACAGAATAATGACCACAAGATATTCACGCCCCCTTTGGGATCTGTGAAGCTTAAGTAAAAGATAGGAATGTCTAATCCGTATAATCTTTATCATCACAGGAAAAGAAAAACAATCTGAGGCAGCAAAAAAGCCCTGTTTTAAAATAAGTTTCCAGCACAAAATTTTTCGAAAAGTGCAGAACTTCAGAGAAAACTGTGCAAGGAGGACAACCAAGTGAATAGTCTATGTCTAAAACCAGAAATAATAATTCTTGCTGCTCTGGAATAAAAAATCCCATCCACAGCAGCTGGATTTCATAAGGAATGGCATGAGGAAGTCCAAGCCACAGGCAATGAACACTTCAAGCTTCTAATTCTAGAGAAAGGTTTTCTTTGCATTAGAACATAATTCAAACATATATTACAGCTTTTCTCCACATCAGTAGAGAAGAAATCATGTATGACTCCTCTATACTTCAACAGATGGTTGTTATTACATTTCAGTAATTCAAATTAATTTCTGTAAGCAGTTTTAAATTCCTTTAAGCTTAACCTTTTCCATTTAAGTTATTGTTTGGCTCTAAATTAATAAGATAAAGATTAAATATTCTAATGTGCATACAGTCAAGTAACACCTAATACAATACAAGACGTGCAAATAAAAATAAAACTGTCAAGTTACTTTTATGTGTCTGGAGAGGTGCTGTTAAATAACTATGATTCAAAGAGACAATATGAAATGCTGTTTGGAAAATCAAATTACTACTTTCACTGGAGAATTAAACTACTTTTCAGGAAACCAAATAATTTATTATACATATTTACCAAAGAAAGTGTATTTATAAGATTTTTTTTTTTAAGTTTTATTTGAGAACAAGTAGAAGATGAGAAAAATAGAAAGAAGAGTAGACAAAAGAGACATATGGGAAAAGAAGACATAAGAGAGGCATGAGGAAATACAGAAAATGAAAGACAAAAAGAGTAAGTTCCACAATAGAATAGAATAGCTCAGTTGGAAGGGACCTACAATGGTCATCTAGTCAACTGCAACGTTCTTATTATTCTGCATTAGTCTGCACAATGCATCCTCTAAACACATACATTAAAGAAAGGATTTCACCAAAAGTGGACTTTCCAGATTACCAAAACATCTAATGATAACTTGTTAAATTAGAGTTCAAGAAGGGAAAAATAAAATTAAAAAAAAAAAAACCAACACACTGCTAGTTTAGTTAAACGGTCAGGATTTTTATTTCCATGTATTTCCATTTCCCTCTGCCCTTTCGGCCTGAGGTGAATGCTGAAGAGCACAGCATCCCAAGAGAGTTCTCTTCGTTGTGCTCTCATCACGGCAGTCTGTGGGGGCAGCACTTCATATACAAGCCCCAGATATATTGGCATTTAGGAACAAAAATGCTCTTGCATCCTGGACAGAAATTCACTCTGCCCTTTTCCCTCTACAGTCTGACACTGTAGGTGCAAAAACTCATTAGGTATCTATCAGTTTAGGTCAAACGTATCCCACCTACTTCAGCTCAACTCAGAAATGGCTGTTCTTGGTGACAGGTGATTATCTCTACCTACTGTTCTGTTGCAACTCAAGTTCAGGCAACCAAATTTGGCCCAAGCCCTGCTGTGAAAGATATTTGAAAGAGCTACATCAATTTGGTGTTTTCACCTTCAACCCAGTGCATAATAATCTTGGTTTTTGAGTACTCACACAGGATTCCTGTTTACATTCAGCTTGAAAAAAAAAAAGAATTCTCATCTCCACATTCTGGGTGTAAACTACTCTTCAAACATAATAATCTTCTCCCTCCCCCCCCCTCCAGCTGTATTAATAATTTAGGTCATTATTTTAGGCAGATTAGCTCATCTCCCCCAAACATGCGGGTGATTACAGACAAACATCCTTAGCCTTTGCTAAGACAGTCCTTGCAGCAATGACATTCTTATTTCTGGAAGTTCAATACAAATAATAGTCCAAATAGTTCAGCTTGGCAGAATGAAAAATCTCTTTAGAAATTATTCTCTGTCTTGTTCGTTAACGTGACATTTCAGAGCTGCCAATAGGCAAAAGCAACAGGGAGGAGACAGAGGAAAGGAGAAGATGCAGAAAGCCAGGTTAACTTTGACTGGGTCACTGTTTCTGAAAAGCTGCTAGGAAAGGAGCCTGGTATTCCCATTTCCTCAGCCATTCCTCCAGCTCTCAGTGCAGGTGGCAGCCTGCTGGGCCTTCTGCTCCTGGCTCACCAAGGCACTCAGTCTCCCTCCTGCCATGCTAAATAGTCCCACCTACCTCAAAAGTGACAGCACTGCATGACGCGGAAAGGGGACCAGACAGGGCTCATGCACATGTCCAGTACAATGCCAACGAGGGAACTGGTTAAATCACTGAAGTCAGCCTGCCTAAATCACATTGCAGGCAAGAACTACACCCATGGAGATAACCAGGTAGGTATTCACCTGTATCTACTTCTGCTCCACAAAGCATGATGTCCACTCCTCACTGTCTCGATGACCTGCAGTAGTTTTTTTAGGTTAATCTTTGATGTGCTGTTAAAAGTAATGTCTGTTTTCAAAGGCTGTATCCATGTATGTGGATAGTAACTTCACATAGTTAGTGGGAGTACATCAAGCATGTATTGGATTCTTCACATTAAATATCTGCAAGAGATCCTTGTTAACTCCCCTTGAAAAAGCTGACTTTATTTTAACCTTTTAATCAATTTTCTTCTACAATATTGAACTACTTCTGTTGTGCTAAATTTTTCGCTTGGCTCTTAGAGAAAGTGTGTCTAATGCTGAAAGGCACCTACCACTGTGCTGCTAAAATATATCATACAAAATGTTCTTGCAGGATAGATAATTAATTACACTTTAGATATACGACATACACTACAGCAGTTTGGTGAACAGGACTTTATACCACTACAAGACAATCCATATGGTTTCTGTTTGAGTATCTGCAACCAGTCAGCAGGTCTACTCACTCCCCTCCCAAGCTAAATGTTCTCACAGTAAATGACTGTACCTTTCATGCATATAGTTGACTCCGAGCAACAACTGTATAAACCAGTCTATTATTTGTCTTTGAGTGAATATCTTCCCAGATTCTTTGTACTCTTGAATTTTAAAGTCTAGATCTCCACCCTGAAAAATATCACAACATATTTGTACATTTAAAGTAAGTTTCTAAAATATCTTCTCCTTCATCAACATACAGGACTCCATTTTTGTAGACCTTCAGGCTCCCTACCTGTAAAATTAATGCTTGCACATGAATTCTGAACTCTCCCAGCACCAAAAGCATACACAGCTGAGGATCAAAATGAGATCAAGCAGTCTGGCTGCATAGGGAAAGTAGGTCAGTTTTCTCTTAGTGTTACACAATATCATAAAAGTTTTCAGCTGTTCTCACTTCATGACACCCAGCTTTAGACTTGTACATCTGAGCTGGTCACCTCAAACTCCCTTTATAGTTAACACAAAGGAACAGGCACCTGTGTGGTGCAATAATCTCTGCTATCTATCTGGCTACCTTAGGAAGGGAGGATCAAGTTGTAAAAATGCTGTTTCTCTGCAAAGCTTTATGATGAAGGCCCTACATTGACTGGCTAATATGCAGACACCTAAATCATGTAAAATTAATCTGCCCCAATCGGTCCAAGTAAGTTTATAAATTTGGGAAAAACATTTCCACTTAAGTCAAACATTGCAGAGCCAAGAGACACTCTCATTATTACGCTGAAATAACCATGTCAGCATCAAAGAAACCATGCTGTTCTCTTAAGAATTAAAATACAGTCTCTTAATTAAGATACTTTGTTCCACTTCCAAACTCACCTTGGCCAGAAACAAAGCAGAATTAAAGCTTCAAGAATCTGTAGCATGTGTTATTGTAAACACTTCATCAAAACTACAATTGATCTTGTACTAACACTAGAAATGGAGCAATATGACACACAGCAGGCAGTGAAAATAAAACAGAAAATATATACAGAAAAAGGCTACCTGAAAACCCTAAGTCAGACATTTGGAAAAATCTGTTGAACAGCAGCATGATGAAAGAGGTTTTTGAGGAGACTTATATGAAAAATGTTCATTTTGCTAAAAAATAGACAGATGGTTGTCAGCTGGTTGCTTATCCAGTTTATAAAATAAATGGATTTTGTCTACAAGAATACATATTAATGGCAAGCACTGTGTTGAGGTAACTCATCCCAGAGCAAAGGGACTGCGAGTCTCATTGTACTCTACTAAGTATCTTACATCAGGACAGCTTATTCTCCATAAATCATTACTTTTACATTACACATTCTGCAGAAAATCAGAAGTTTTACGTGCCATATACAAGAAACTAGTTTAACCTGTACAAATGTGCCACCATTTCCCATCATCAAGCCTTCCCTTCTCTGCACTGTTGACTCTCAAGAAGTTATGATCTCTTCAGCATTTCTTGTTTTTCTGTTCCCAACACCACAGTGCTTCATGCTGCTGCTCAAAATGAGCAAGTTCTGTCCTTGAAGATCCATACATTTCTGCCCTGTACTTTGACATGAATTTACAGTAATTTCTGTGGTCCCTGAGGTTCTAAGTTACAACATTCAGGAGTGAGTGTGTTAAAAAAAAAGAAAATATGTTTTGTCATATATGAAAAATGTGTTCCCTGACAATGTCCTGCAATTTTTTAATTGAAACGTCTGAATCATCTCATTCACTAGGGAAGGGAATATGGCTTCCATCTGCCTCCCTGCTGCAGCCCAGAGAGAAGCTCTTCTGGGAACTTGGAGCGCTCAGCAGCTGCTTCCCCTTTGCAACTCCAAATGTTCAACAGCTTCCCTCTCATTGCTCGCAGAGCAGAGGAAGGAAAGAAAAAGTGTTGCTGGGTACTCTGCTGCATGGCAACCAGATGGACTGTGCCTGAGCCTACTCACACACCTCAAAAATAATGACTCACCTATCCCAGACGGCTGCCCCCAGACCATCCAGAGCCAACTGTAGCAAATAGCCCAAGCTCTGGGGCTTGTTCAAACATGTGTCAGCTGGCTAGTGGTCACAGGGGACTTTGTACTATCCAGATGAGGACAGATGAAGTCCAGCAGGCTCCAATCACCACTTCTCCCTGTCCCAAAGCGTTCTCTATCACAATCACACATTGCCATGAAAAATGTAAAGAAAAGTGCAGGACCTACAGAGTCAGGCTGGTGGGTACTCTCTTAAGTTGGGGGACATTTCCTTCAAAAGGTCTAAGGAGAACAAAAGCAGTCGAATAAAGTACTGCATGTGCCCTCAAGTAACTCTATGGATTTTTACCTTCAAGCAGAGAAGACTGGTCTCAATGTCCTACAATTAATTTAACCTTGATTTTGTGTCTAAAAAAGGAAAACAAAAATGCATCATAAAGGATTTGCTGAAATATTGCTCTCACGAAATTCTGAAGAAGTTTGTTAACCCAATTTTGGAAGGTCAGTATAATGAAGTTCATAGGGAATTCAACAAATTGAGTACATATGGAGTTTCCAAGCTGCAGTTTCTATTTAAATGTCAAAAGTATCAAATACACCAGTAACTTATGTAAAACAGCTTAGCATCTAGAGCTGATAATGTGAGCAAGCACTGATTGCTTCAGTTATTCCTTTTGCTCAGATTTCCTTAGCGTGTGTGTACCCACATCACAGCTGAGACCACAGTGAAGAGACAGAAATAACTGTTCGGGGGAAAGTACAACTAGTTCTGGTTTACGATGTATTAAAATGATGTAACTTTTAAAGTAACCACTTTGTAAAAACTGTATTTTATTGAAGTCAAATTTATGTTACAAATTTAAATCCAAGGTTCATAAAGGCAGCAGCTGCACTGGGGGCTCACTCTATGCTACTCATGCAAGAATCAACAAAGTACTGTGGCTAATGAGTAAGTCACAGTACTTTGGAAAAAACAGAATAAGGCTCAGAGGGTAGCTCCGTTTCCATGCCAACTTAATGTTTTTTCTTGGCCCAAGAGTACCAATTACTGCCAATCTGGTAATTATGCTATGCATGAGAAACTTAATGTACTAGATTTCCAAACAAGGATCAGGTAGCAATAAATTTGTCTCATTCTCAATTTATGCACGATTTAAACGGCATCTTTTAGGTAAAAAGATCCAAATCCCACCATATACAAAGGCAGGTTATAGATAAGTAAATATGAAAGTATACCTTCTGGAAATACTCCCACTAAGATAGAAAAGAAACTTTATAGCACTATGGTAAACCTTGCTTTATACTTCCCTTGCCTGAACATTTCATTAAATACATTGCAATTGCTTAAGTGAGATGATACTACATAGTACATCCTTTTCGGAAAGAGTCAGAAGCACATCCTAGTAGACCCACTGTCATTCTGGCCTGACCTAGCGGACTCAAAACTGAAAAGATTCTGCTGCATAGCCAACACATCCATTTCCTCCTCCTTTGTTTGCCTTCCTCTAACATGTTCTCATGTGTTTGAGTACATGCCTCCTGGATCCTAGGGTAACTCTGCCCCAAAACGTTTTCATGCAGGGTAGTTTGTATTGCCTGAATAAAAAAATTTCCAAGGGGTGCTGCAGCAGCAGCTTGTGATTACTGCAGTGATTGCTACCATGCTCAATTTTTATTCACCTATAACTTTATTCCAGATAAAAAAAAAAAAAAGGAAAAGAAAAAAAAAAGAAAAAAGCAGCAGACCAAAGCCACCAGTCCAGCTCTAAACTGCTGCTGAAGGAGGCTCCTTTATTCCTATAGGTTTAACTGATCTGGTGTTGGGCCACTTTCTACCACTGGTAGAGAGAAAATGAACCTTAGTGCACAGGAATATCTGGGCCGTTACAATAATCCTTCAGTTCTGAGCTCTAGATTTCCACAGAGAGTTGGCAGTACCAAATTTCCATCAAGCTCCAGCAGTCAGACATTCAGGGAATGACGCAAAGAGCTTCTGCATGGGTGTTAAAATAATATGTGGACAAATATTCAGATTGCGTAACAGAACTGAACACTTCGGATTTAATTTTAAAAAATTCCAGCAACAAATAGGCAGTTAACTGTCATCAAAGAAAGCTTCTAAGGAAGCAATGACTGCTAGAATAGTACTTCTTTAATTGTTGGCACCAAAGCTGAATGCTGGAAGAAATGTGATTAGTTAATACAAGTCTGACTGGTGGACAGGTAACCCAGTAGTCCAAGTAGTCCAAAGCATTTCAAATGTCTAGCAGAGCACAACTGAAAAGCCTGCTTCACAGTTTCACAAAAAGATCACTGTATGTACAACAGATTATATTTTTTTTAAAACAGCACATCTATATTTAATACAAATCAGGCACTTGTTTTATATAAACTCTGAAAAAGCTGGCTTAAATATATATAAATCCTTATTTTAAAGCCTTAAGACAGATTTCATCAATATGTTTTTAAAGCAAGTTTGGGAGTAAAAAACCTGGTAGCTATACTGTAATATATACTGCTTTAATATTTTATGTATCCTCTAAATTCTGGTCTTTGACTCACACTATTCTCCACTTCAGAAAGCCAATGCTGCTACCAAACTCATCATCCATATGATCAGGCTTGAGCTTCTTATAATCACCTCCAAATCACAAGTGAGTTTTCCCTTCCTCATTTACATCAGATGTCGTACCATGCTCCTGTACTCCCAGTTTCATCCTCTCTTACCTATCAGTAGCACATATGTGGTAAAACCTTTCTGAGGTCACCCACAGATCTGGTAATGCACCTGGTATTTAAGTCTTTCTGGAAATACTGATTATAGTGAATGAAATTTCCTCTTCTCTGGTTTGTTTGTTTATGAGCTATAAGTCTCATGCAAGCAGGTAACATTGCTTATTTGAAATATGCCTACAAGTAGCAGGTGATACCACAAGTAAGAAATAAGAGTAAAATTCAAACTAAAACATTAAATAAAACTGGGCTAGGTTTCTTTTAAGACCCTATTTTAATGCTCACATTCTGTCAAATTTTTTCAAAGTAATATACAAGTCTCACCTCGCAGTATTCAGTGATAATGCAGAAACTATCTCGCTCCACAAAGCTTGCATAAAATTTGACAATGGCTGGATGGTCTAATTTGGAGAGTAGTTGTGCTTCCAGATTTGCTTCAACTGTTTCATTAGGCTTTAGGTCTCCAACAGAGATTTCCTTTAGAACCTTTCTAGAGGAAAACAAGAAGTCTTTATATTAATAAAAATAGAAAAACAGAAAATCAGGTAATGCTCAAAAACCCATCATAATTTCTTTAAATGCAAAATAACAACATTAACCAAGTATTCGGCAACATGAAATGATGAGGCAAATATGGGTAAACAAAGAGATTGCATTAAAATGCAAATAAATATGCTAGTCATCGTAGTGATTAAACAACATTTTAAAAATACTGTTTTGAAGTATTTTTCCCACTAACTCCCTACTGCACAGTTTTCTTCATGACATGTTTTCAATGCTAGGATTAGTGCATAATAATAAACATAAATAAAAAAAAATCTAAGTGATTTCAAACCTACTCAGAGCATATGCTCAAGATTCATGCATGAAAGGAGTAGCAAGAAACCATTTGGTTTTGCTGCTTCTGCCAAAGTCTCTCCATGGAGGCATGATAAAATCACAGAGGGTAGTATTTCTGTGACTTTTTCTGGTGATAAAATCAGGATGCCTATTTTTTCTAATGATAAGCCCTTCACCTGAACACCTAAGTGGACAGTGCAAATGTGGATTTGTGGCTGAAACCTAATTCTACTGCTTCACACAACTATAAATTTCAGTGTTTAATATTTATTTTGGGAGGCCCTAAACCCCCTAAAGTTGAAAAAATTAAAGGTTTTTTTCATATTATTCAACTTTGAGCATGTGAACATGCTGTAGGAGAAATTGTTCTTCAGACTTTTACTCTGTATGGTACCTGGATTTGGGGAGTTTACAGTCAACTTGTCCTGGAAAAAAACCCTTAGTGCAGGGCACTACAGGGAAGCATATTTTGCTGGGATCTTCCTGATGAAATGTTTAAAAAAGTCGTACATCACACAAAGGCATGCCATTTCCATCTACTTTACCAGCTGCTGAAGAATGGGTCATATGTCTGAAGGAGCCATTTGAAACTATTAGAGAATAGAATGGTATTTTACTGAAACAAAGTGATGAATTTCCAGTAACTTTTGAATACATGGAGGGTAAGTTCCACACTGAAGGGACGTCCTTACGGTGCTTTTAGTAATTTCCCATTCAATACTGCATGGCTGTAAAGTCACAGTAGTTAAACATGACAGCAATAAAACCACAGTAATTCAGTTGATCTAAGGAAAAAAAAGCTGTATTTCTTCATAAGAAAATTTCTTCCTAAATCTCAAGCATCAGTTTATGACTAACAATGCATGACTTTGTACATAAACTTGCCTAATCCCCATCTGGCAGTGTGATGAAAAAAACACGCCATTTGATTTGTCTGCATCTCTGCAGACAAGCTCCCTACTACACCGACAGGTAATACCTACTGCAATCTTCACATCTTCAGTTGACATGGAGACATTATTCCTTCCTTCACCTAGATCGTGTCACAAAACTGACAAACAGAACGAATCCTTGTTAAACACCGCTTAATATAAGTTTCTTGTATACCCAAGACAGCGATAAAAGCCTGATGTGTTGATGCGTAGGGATAGCTTGTCATTTTAGTCACTCAGTGATTTTGATGCTGTCATCAGCTGTCAGACAACAAGGCAGGTGTTTTTCTTATTAAAATTCATTCCCAGAAGAACAAATCAGGAAAATGTATTTTTGTAAATAAGGCATTGGTTTTCTGCAACACAGTGCTAATTCATATCCAGAACTGGAAGTCATTTGCATCTAGATAGAAAAGTTTTGTGATGCAATTCAGATTAAGCATATATGTATGCCACTGGTGTATGTGTGTACTGATTCTATATGTAGATAAAGTTTGAGTTTACTGAGTTGATAAGACGACAACCAGACTTTATACTTTCTGCAAAACTTCTGCTATCTACTTTAGTAAATGTGCTTAAAAATTAAAAATACAAATTTAAAAAACTCTACATTGATTAAGTATTGACAAAGGAGTTATGTCAGGGTCTCAGAAGTCTCACAGAGAAAATGAAGAATAGTCTCTGGGTCTAAAGAGGCTCTTTTCTGAGAACTTTAGAAGAAAAACAGTGAAGCCAAAAGTCTTCAGTCAGAATTTCATCTATGTGAATTAACTATACTTTTCAATACATAAAGCACTTAAATAGTGCTTAAATATACTCTACCCCATGTCAGTATTTACACAAGTAACTTCTACACTAACAGGCAGCTAAAATAGGCACTTTCTGTGATTTACAGGACTCCTAAGATAACTCAAATGGCATCCCTGGTGATGTCAAATAGGCTGCCTATCAAAAAAAAAAAAAAAAAGCTTAGTAATCATAAGAAAACAATGAGCTTTTCTTAGCTAAGCAATCCTGACTGCATTTCCCCTCTACCAAGAGAACCCAGCTCTACCCTTCAAAGGAGACACAGTGTTTCTGCTTATAAGATCCAACCTGCGTTTTAAGGTTGGCTTATAATAAAAAGTTATCACTGCTTATAATTCAGCCACTGTACTTGTGTATCATCTGCTGAAAATCTGCATGCATTGATCAGTTTAGAAACATATAGTTAGGAAACACAAAGTATTTTAAACAAACCTTTTGAAGCACGTGGCATGAACGTTTATTATGGATTTTGGGAACAACAGGCTCTCCTAAGATTTTGCCAAGATTCCACCTGGAATATATAGATCCATCTGAAAGTCGATTTTTTTCATAAAACCTGTCCCAATATTTTTCTGCCACATAGGCTCGAGTATTAAGCAGGATTTAAAAGGTCCAAAACCATTTGCATGAACTAAGAAAACATAGATTTAGGTGGCACATACAGAAAAACAGGTACAACCACTAAAATCAGGATGCCCTCCAAATACAATACTTAAAACTCTCCCTTTTGATATGATGCTAAAAGAGATGTACTCATTTATATTTATTTATTATTATAAATTCCACTTAATTTAGAATACAGTCACATAAGCAGATCATTGAATCACAGAAACGTTTAGGTTGGAAAAGACCTTTAAGATCACCGAGTCCAATTGCAGTCCTAACACTGCCAAGTCCACCACTAAACCATGCCCCTAAAGATAAGACAAAATGTCAGTGAACACACAACTAGAAAACTTTGTTACAGAAGTGCTGGCAGAACAAAAGATTTTAACTGTGTGGGGAAAAAAAAAACCCTAGCCTTGCAGTTTAATAACACAAAGGCACTTTGAACTTGATCTTGAACTGACGACAACTGTAAGAGTCTTGTAGTGAATGCATTCACGTCTTAAGAGTAAAAAGCGCTGGCTGTCACTATTTACATCCATCCTGGAGGAAGCTAGGGCTGGTACAGGTAACAGTATCCATCCCCCCAGGGAGGGAAAATAACACGAGATAAGCCCACTCCCCACAATACGGAAAGCAGCTGTCCTGCCCCCGCGGTGCCCACCCCTCAGCAGGCTCGCAGACTTTCCCCAGGAACACCTTCTGGCTTTCACCAGGAAAACCTTCCCAGCTTGCACTGTCGTGCTTTGAAATGCAGGCAGGCCAGCACACGGGGCCTGAAAGTGCAATAACATGGAGCGAATGGGGATAAATAGAGCAAGACTTAAAACAAGAGAAAAACAAGCGCGAAGGTGGAATCCTCCAGGATACGGACACCCAGTGGGAATCGTTTTTGAGCTTTACTAGTGACTGACAATATGCCATAACAGTGTTTATCTCAGTCTATTTGTACTGATCTAAAATTAAATGTTTTACAACCCATCTGTTATTTGTTTACATTGATGACATACTTTATTATTATATAATTTGGTTTATTGGATCAGATGCAACCCTTAAAAGAAGACAGCCTTTCTCAAAACGCACTCTGTTTATTGAGTAAACTGCAACATGAATTATTGACTAGGTACATTTGCTTGCCGATAGTAAGTAAAAGAAATATAACTCTTTTCATGTCAAGAATAAGTAGGTCAAACTACCACAGAGAGGGTGTGCTCTAGGAATATATGATCAACATTTGAAGGCTTTAATTAAATAGAAACTTCATTTTACACGGGCAGTCGTTCTGTTAATTGCAGCCTGACATTAGCAAGACCTGCTAGCTGGTAATCAGTGTGCAAAGCTGGGAATTTATCTTTCCATATAGTTTATATTTCCAAGTTATCCTGAATTCAATATGGAGAGTTGTGGCATAACCTATAACTGTGCGTCGTATCTATCCACTCTGACCTTTGTAGGACTACCTCTTCATCCTGGTAACTCCTCAGTACAAGGACCACCTGCAATGTATCACCTCATCTGCAATTGGATCTGATATTGGTCATAAACAATAAAATAAAGGGGTGCCTGTCTAATTAAGGATGTCTTAAATTATGTTTATCAAATGGCAAACAGAGAAGGTAAGATACTATAAATGGGGACCAAAATGATGAACAGGCAACAACCCTCATGCACAAGTCCTGTCTGCACAACAGCTTCCAGCGTACTAAAACTGTCTGTTTGGGAAATTCAGTAACAAGGACAACATCTGCATATAGACAAGATGATGTCCCCCGTCATTACTGCTTCTCACAGTCAGTTGCTTTCTATAATATCACACAGCTGATGAGATTTGCACACTACAGCCAACAGTGTAGTTCTAAAATTGTAATTTTAGATTTCTGTTAATAGCTTCCACACGGAAAATATATTACTGGTATCTAATTTTTAATATATAGTCCTGCCTGTCCCCAACTTTAACTGTCCTTTCTGTACTATTTACATCCAGATATTACAGATGCCCTTTGATTTGACATTCCACCTTGCTCATGAGGTACTCCTCATGTAAAGTTACTTGGCTTGCTGTCAGGCTTTATAGTTTCCTCACGTTTCCTTTCAGACCTTTCATATTTGCACATCCAGCCTTTATTTACAATTAAGATACTTTACTGATTTTATATGGCACCCTATAGCCTGGAATCTACTTCCCTCACTTAGGTTGGTCTCCTAGTTCCATTGTAATTTTAATCTAATCCTTACCCATCATACATACAGCTATCCTGTTACTAACAATCTTACCAGATTTCTCTGCCTGGTGTCAGTGCCTGGC